TTTACTTAAGTAAAGTATTTGAGTACTTTCTCCACCACTGCTGATAATTCTGCTTCCAAGAAATGCTGTTTTCTGACAGGTAAACTATCAAAAATTATAGAGCACAAAGTGACCAGTCACTGGAAAAAATATCTATGAGTCATCAACCTGACAAACAAGCTAACTTTCTGAAACTTACCCATCTGGAGAGGAAAATCACGGCTCCAGCATGTTTTTTGTTTGTTTGTTTTGTTTTGTTTTCACTACCACTGTGTTACCATGGAATGACTGAGCCTGCATTTTACTTTATTTGGTTTATTTTTGGTAAAATATAGCCAACTTGAAACTTTAAGTCTTTTTTCTTTGGCCTCTTTGACGTGGTTATCTTGCAGTTCCGCCATTATTATCACTCTTTGATGTGCCCACTGTGGAGTAATCTGTGGTTTGCAGATCGGCACCTCTTCTTAAGTAGTAAACAAACCACAGATAATAGAAGTGATTCTTCCCCCAGCAGTTTATGTATTTCATTGCAGATACAAATGAACATTTATTTAGTTACATAATATGAATTTAATAAAATTCTGTGGGGACAATTTTTATTATTATTATTATCGACAACTGATCTCAATAATCTGTGCAGCACTACTTGGTGGTACTCTTAAGACATGATCATTGGATGTACTGTACTGTACTGTAGTGTATATTGAACTAGATTACTAAAAACTGAAAGGACCGGAAAAAATGTAGCATCAATAAGTTATTGTAACTCAGGTGTTACTTGGCCAATAAATACAATTAATAAATTGGTGTATGAAGTCTGTACTTTTACACAAATTAGATTTTCAAAGAGGCTATAAGTTTCCCACTACAGTGATTTAAGTCGGTTGTGTGACGATCCGTCAGCACGTCTCTTGACCCCTAAAAGCTTATACATTTCAAAACCTCAGAAAAATGATCTATTAATCAGCACATCCATGTTCAGACTCCCTGAGCTTTACCTGTGTGGGAAATGTGATTTCCAGAGTCACTGGGAACCCTGTTATTGTTACAAATTCAAGGATTCTTAAATGTAATTTCATTGTGCTAAAAACCCAGTAAACCTGACAGCGGAGTGAATGTCTTAGAAACAGTGTTTGCATGAACTGCTATGAAATWTTTAGCTGCATTTGAACTAGCAGTTGGATCATCAGTCAATTCTGTTGGACTTAAAAGACTACCGTATTTTTCAGACTATAAGCCGCGACTTTTTTCCTGAACTTTGAACCATGCAGTTTATAGTCCGRTACGGCTTATACGTGGATTTTTCCTTCAGCCACCAGGGGGCTCTTTAGCAGAGGTGGGGGCTCTTAGCCGGAGGTGTGGTTGCCACGAATAAAAGGAGAAAGATGAAACAAGCGCCATTTTGTTTTAGCTAGTAGCAGACACGACACGATGGATCTTCGACAGACACGACATTGGACAGTATGTGGGCCCACATCACGGATTCGGTGAAAGCAGCCATCAAGAAAACAAATTCAATTCCTGCTGTTATTCTTGGAGGTACAACAAAGTTTTGCAACCCCTGGACATCAGTGTGAATCGTGCATTTAAAGCAGCACTCAGGGGTGAATGGGAGGCTTGGATGACTGACGGGGATAAATTACTCACAAAAACTGGCCGAATG